CAGGGAGTGGGGGCACCAGGAGAAGCAATCCATGATCATACCGACCCTGGTTGCTGATTGGCCACTGGGGCAGGCAAGTGTCCCTGCTGACTCAGGAGGCACCAATCGCTTATGCCTGTGCCCACATCCTCTGGTCTATATGCTCTGGTGGCTGGGGCTTGGGAGCGAGGGGCAGGAGCAGAGCACTGGCATATCAGGGCTGCTCAGCACCACAAAGCAGTGCAAGGAGACAGCTGCAGCTGGACCCGTGTCCTGGTAACAAAAGGGGCAGGAGGAGCTCTGATTTTCCATGATAAAAATAACAAAATCAAGCACCAAAATATGTAAGTATTTAGATTGTATTTTATTATAATGACTGAGGCACTGGTAGGCTTCCAAATTGCTTTAAAATTTTAAATAAATCAATAAAACATTGTGTTCAACTGATACCTATATATATAGTGGGGTTTCATTTTGATTGTGGAAAAACATGGATTTGGGGTTTTTAATCAGAGAATTTGGGATTTTTTCCCCAGAGAATTTCTGATTTTTAAACAGAAAACCAGGATTCCTTGTCATTAATCATGTTAGCTCATGTTCAGCACCTTAGCAGATATATCCTGACATTCTGGGGCATACAGATCTCTCTTAATTCTCTTTCCAGTCTGCTTACACACCTTTGTAGTCCCCCTGACTTCAGTAGAGCTGACCTGATTTACACCAGTGTAACAGGAGAGTCAGGCCACCTGTAAGTTGCTTTGTGGGGACAGCCTGATTTAACTTAATTCACTGAAGTGGAGCTGTGCAAAACCACTTGGAATTCAGGTTAAGCTGAATCCATTTTCAGTATATCAGTTTACATCATTTTTGTTTGGCAAGATATGTGCATCATGAAGGGGTAGCTGATTTTATGTATTTTTAGAAAGGCTGTCATAGCTTTAGGTATCTTCTGTCTGTGTTGTAACTACCTCTGTCCCTAGTACGGCAGATAATGTTCTTTTCATTACCCTGATCTTCCTTGTCTGTTTCCCTTCTTTTCTATCACATCTGTCTGTTTCATCTCCACAAATCAGGCTGTACGTTTCTTAGAAGGGCCATCTCTTCTCGGTATCTGTATAATGCCTACAACATTGGAGCCCCAATTCTGGGCACTACTGAAACAAATAATAGTCATTAATCTGGAGAGTACAATACTTGTTCTTTTGCAGCTTCCATGGTCATTTCATGAATTGGTCTGTATCCACAGTCACTGAATCCAGCCAGGTACAGAGCCAGCCAACATGCACAGACCATTAAAGCACACTTAAGCCTTCAAGATAGAGTTTGAGTGATACACAGGCGCAGCTAGATCTCTCCAAACAGGGGAAAATGTCAGCCTTGCTTTCTGTACTAGTATCTGGACTTCCTAAGTAGGGTCCCACTGTTGTGTGCAAACTTGTAACTTTATCTGTTTGCATTCCAGTTGCATTTTACCCGTCTGAGAAGGGTTACACACATGTCTGCTTTCAGGATTGAAGCCTATGTTGGGTTTTTCTAATGTGGAAACATGTCTGAGAGATGGTGTCTTTTTTAGTTTTCCAAAGCCTTCTGTTCCTTCCTGGGATGTGTTAGAATGGAGCCCTCATCCTAGTCTACTATTCTGTAAATGACACAAATTGGGAATCAGAAGGCCCGCTGGTAGATGATGTGCTGTGTATTTTCTTTTGGTGTCTATTGTTCTTTGACAAGAATATTGACTAAATCAGAAGGGGGTTAGGTAAGCCCTGCAGCACAGAGGTTGAGGGAGATAAATACCTCAGCTATTCTAGGTGTTTGCTAGGCTGTCTCTCTTTCTGCATGTCAGGCTATTGTTGGTGGTCAGTTGCCACTGGTCTGGACTAGGTTGTTGCTAATGAGGTGACAGCTAAAAGGAAGGAGTTTATCTTGATCATAGTGAAAGTAGTCAGAGGATGTATCTACATGAAACACCCATTGTGAAATTGTTAAGAGCAGGTAAAATAAGAGTAGGCAAAAAAGTAGACATTACTGAACAGTAGCATCCTGGCACGGTTGCCTGTTAATAACTTGTTACTACTATGCAGTAGTGTCACATCATGGTTCATGTCCAGCAGTGCTACTGCACAGTAGTAATGACCTACTGTGCAATAGTGTTCAGTAAGCATCTCATCTAGATGCACCCAGATTTGCAAAAAGTAGCTTCCGTTTTAAAATGTTCTTTCATAGTTTCATAGTTTCTAGGGTCGGAAGGGACCTGAGCAGATCATCTAGTCCGACCCCCTGCCATGGCAGGAAGAGCACTGGGGTCAAATGACCCCAGTAAAGTGGTCATCCAGCCTCCTCTTAAAAACCCCCAGGGTGGGAGCCTGCACCACCTCACTTGGAAGCTGGTTCCAGACTCTAGCCGCCCTGACCGTGAAGTAGCGCCTCCTGATGTCCAACTTAAACCTTCCCTCCGCCAGCTTGTGACCATTGTTCCTGGTCACTCCTTGCGGCGCTCGGGGGAACAGGGACTCCCCCAGCGCCTGCTGATCCCCCCTAACCAGTTTATAACAGGCCACAAGATCCCCCCTCAGCCTTCTCTTTTGAAGGCTGAACAGGTTCAACCTTTCCTCATAGGACCTACCCTGCTGTCCCTTGATCATACGAGTGGCCCTCCTCTGGACCCTCTCGATGCTGTCCACATCCTTCTTAAAGTGCGGCGCCCAGAACTGGACGCAGTACTCCAGCTGCGGCCTGACCAGTGCCGCATACTGGGGGAGGATCACCTCCTTGGACCTGCTCGAGATGCATCTGTGGATGCACGACAAGCTGCAGTTGGCCTTCCTAACCGCCTCCCCACATTGCCGACTCATGTTCATCCTGGAGTCAATAATGACTCCCAGATCCTTTTCCACCTCCGTGCTGACAAGAGGGGAGTTCCCTAGCCTGTATGTATGGTGCCGATTGTTCCTCCCCAGGTGCATCACCTTACACTTGTTAAACCCCATCCTGTTCTCCTCCACCCATCCTTGTAACCTATCTAGGTCTAACTGTAGCCTGTTGCTCTCCTCAATTGTGCCCACTTCCCCCCACATCTTAGTGTCATCAGCAAACTTGAACAGGGTGCTTTGCACCCCCTCGTCGAAATCACTGAAGTACCTTGTACTTTCTCCTTTTTTGAAACAAGTTATTGAGAGAGTAGAATTTGCGGTAATCCCATGTGTGTTCAATTGCTCTTATTTTAAAAAAACAAAATAGTCCTGGACACAGACAGTTGTGCTTAACATGGTGGAAAATCTTCTGGAAGAAGGAAAGGAGACTGATACCTGCTGATAGCATCACACATATCAGCTTTCTGTCACCAGCTCAGTGGTGCTCCTTGCAGGTGTGGGTGCTACGGCAACCCTTCAGGGATTGAACTTCCTCATGAAGGGGGTTCTCAAAAGTTTATCATTGCCCAGTTTCTTTGCAAGCTTAGTGCTACTTTGATGTGTTTGATCCAATGAAAGACATTATGTTAGGATATGGATTGGGAAGTCGTGCTGTTGGAACCTGCCGCTTGTGCCTCCCATCCTGCCAGTCTCTTGGAACTGCATATTGGTTGTTTCACAGAAAGATGTGTTTGGGTGGAAGACAGTTAGGCTAAAGTTCAATCCTGATAAGTAATGCTTTTGTCACCACCTGTATTGAATTGTCTGTGAATACCTTTTGCACCTCTACCGGGGACACATCTAAGTGAGTGCACAAGTGTGGTTTGTGATGCCTCAAAGCTGTTTGAGCCTCTGCAAACTGCATGTGGTGCACACATGCCCATTCACCATGCTGCTGATTTGCAGCACAGTGCCAGAATTTGAGACTGGGAGATCCTGGTGTAAAAAACAATCTCCAAAAGAAGTGGTGCAGCACATGAGGCAGTAGACAGCACCACCAGAAACAGAGCCTGGCTATCCAGAGCTATGCTCTGGCTGCCAGTCAGGCTCCATGCAGCCGAATCAGTGCAGCTGCTGCCCCAGGAGATCCCCAAGTAAAGCTACCAGCACAAGTTTTGACACTAGCCTCACCTTCCCCATCCAGGATAATTTGACATGTGCCAGAGTGCACATACAGGGCATAACCAAGCAGCGGCACAATGACGTGCTACTGCTGTTTGTGCCATAGCAAATGCATGCCCCTACAGATGCACTGTCATCTGGATGCACCACTGGTATACAAGAGAGAGGCAACCCAGGAACTTAGGGACCTTCTGCATTGTTTTCTCAGCCTAGAAGCTTATATTTTATCACAGTACATCACAGTGGCCTCCACTAGCCCTTTTCTGTCTCATGTAAAGCTCATTGTGGTTATACATATTTTTGCTACCTCCAGGCTAGACTGTTGTAATTTATTCCTCATTATTTTTTGCTTGAATCTGATACAGAGGCTGCAGGGGTTTCAGAATACAGAACCTTATTTGCTCCTTGATGCCTGGGTAAGGCACTTCAGTAACACCTGTTTTCCACTTCCTGCCTGTTAATCACATCAAGGGCTTGTTGACGAGATGCTAATTTAGACCTGAAATATTCTGGGGACTCTTCCCTTCCCCTTTCAAGGCACTTGAAGTTAACCAGGTTGTCTTTCTCTCTGTCCTCCCACATGAACAGGGTTTTGGTTCATATTTATGGAACTCCTTGCTTGAAGATGGATACTGGTCTCCTTCCATGGAGCTTGAGTTTGAGACTAGATTGAGACCAGAGTTCTGGGTTGCAACAACTGAAATTAAACATAGGATTTGTATCACTTTGGGCAGCATCCAAATTGCATATGGAAAGTCAGACCTTTTGAACCAAAATCCAAAGCTAAAACTGTATGAGCATATTGAACTCCAGAGAGCTGAATCTGAAGCAGTCCTGAACTGGAACTTGAAGAAGATGAATTCACACTCACATTCTGGTTTTGGACCCTTTTCCTGTTGAACAGTACCGAAGTATATTGAATATTTACCAGGCAGAGTTGGTTATAATTTTCCAGCTTGTTGATCTCTATATCTTTATCTTTTATTTTAGTTGACACACCACCTCCCCCTTACCATGCAAGAGAAATGGCAAACCAAAATGGACGATCAATGGATCCAGCAACCAACAGTCAGCTAATGCTGTCGTTGCCCAATGGAGGTAAATCTGCCGATGAAGAAACTGAAAGTAAATAACTATTTATATTACTCTCCAAAGAAAAATTAGTAGACAAGGAGTTATTACACTGGCTTTTGAGTAGTAAGGTTCACAGATTCTTAACATTGAGCCTTCAGCCACCTGTAAGATTAAGGACACAGCCCAGACTTGTCATTCAGAAACAGTGTGGGAGTGATATAGAAACTCAGTTATTGCATTTCTGACACAGAGGGTTCTGATTTCACTTGCTTCTTTGTGTTCACAGAAGTTAAAAGAAATATTCATGAAAGCAAACATGATTATCTGGGTTGTAGGGACAAAGTTATCAAAAAAGGGGCTGGGCGATTATGTACTGCACCAAGAGCTATATCAAAATCAGGACTGATTTCCTTATTACCTTCACTTCTGGAGTGAGGTGTTTATTCATCTTTAAACACTGTATTAAAAGCTTTATTATTTCCGTCTTTATTTCTGTCTTGTATTACTTGCTGCTGAGCCAGTTAAAGTAATCACAGCAGCATATCACCATCAAGTACAAGAAGATCTATTAAAGGCTCAGCCTAATCCTAAAGGCCTATCAGGCTGGTGTGTTTAAAACACACCACTTCCTGTAGGCAATGGCACCTATAGGGTGATGTGGCTTGTGTCATGTCTGGTTGCCGTTGACTCTTCAACCCAAATAACCAGCTACCTATTTTATAGCTAGGACATGTGGGGGCAGCTTTTGGCAAGTGAGCCTTAAATACATACCTCTGGAGCTGTAACCTTAAATGCTCTGCCATTATGCCCCTAGAAAGAGCTATACAGAAGGCTTTTTGTGGGAGACATGGTAAAATTCAGGATGCCGGAATTGTCTCATTCCCTTTCTGGAGCCACAGGATGGAGCAGCCTCATATCCAGTGTGTGGATATTCCTGCAGTAGTATCTCTGAACCTCAAAGCTGGAAGACCCCCAGGCTCATCCATCATTCACTTGTCTCCATAGAACATTAATCCATGGCATTTATGGCATGCAGAATCTCTGCACAGGATTTCTCTGGTCTGCTCCAAATGCAGGATAATCACAGTTGGTTTTATTATTTATAGCACTATGATCCTACTCAGATGCCCATTCAGGTCCAGGGTGTCCCTTGCACACACCTGTTAAAAGATGACCCCTTTAAGTGCTTGCATCCTAAATTAAGGCAAGAAGATATAAATGTGTGTAGCAGACAGAGAGAGAGGATGATGGTAACAGGATATGTGGACATTCATAATAGCCATGTGACAACAACCACATTCCTAGACACCCTTTTTTCCAAAACAAATATCCCAGAGGCATTTACAACGCCACACTGGTGGCAACCTGCCTAGTCCCTCTCACTTAGAAATACATTGTAGCTAGGTTCCACTGTTTTATGGGTCTCATATGCCCTTGGTGGGTGGTCAGGATATGGTTCTTCATTAATGAGACAAATAAGGCTCAGAGGTTAAGTTAAAAAGGGCAGCTGTCCTTATTCTGAGCCTGAGGAATTAGGGCTTCCAATAGAAATGGTCTTTCTTGTGGCATTTTAATATTTCTGTCTGTAGTCTCAGTTGGAAGCAGAATGTCCTGTGATGTGTGAAAAGAAAATAATAAAGAGGGGGAATGCTTCTTTTTAAACCTCATGTTTTAGGATTAGAGTGAATCATGTTCTGGAGGAAGGGTCAGCTTAGGTTTCATTTCCTGTAATCTACTTTGCTCCTGGTGTTCAGTGGTGCCACATGCACATAGTTGCACAGGCCCTGCAGCACAAACACAACTTGTAAAGTTTCCAGTGGAGTGCTTAGACCCTAATTCAGTAAAGAATTGAATTTTGTGTTTAACTTAGTGCATAAGAGAATCAGTAGGACTACTTACACACTTAAAGGTAAGCCCAGACTGCGGTTCTCTGCTAACTCAGAGCCAGGAAATTATGAAGAAATAGAACCTACTGCTGAGACATCCAGTCTGACAAAGTTGACACTGATTGAGATGGGGCTCATTACAAGAGCGAGTTGGGGTATAAAAGCAAATGTGACTCTGACCTCACTGATTTTACTTCCTACAGACTTTCGGCCTGTATGCTATGAGGAACCCCAGCACTGGTGCTCAGTTGCCTACTATGAACTCAACAACCGAGTAGGGGAGACTTTCCAGGCTTCCTCTCGGAGCATTCTTATTGATGGATTCACAGACCCTTCAAATAACAGAAACAGATTCTGTCTGGGACTGCTCTCTAATGTAAACCGGAACTCTACAATAGAAAACACCAGGAGACACATAGGAAAGGGTAAGAGGAATCTTCCAACAGTGCTGGGAAAAAGTGTCAATGACAGCACAAGTTAAAATACCTAGCTTATCTGTCAGGCCTTATAACACATGTTTCTTAAAACCAAAGCTACCTGCTTCAGAAAAGACAGTATATTTTGCTGACTGGATAACAGGTAGCAGAGAGTAGTGTCCTTGTTGGCCAATATAGAGTGAAATCTTGTTTATAATTATGCTTTCTAAGTTAACTGCATGTATTTTCACTTGTGTTTATTTATATTTACTGCAACAAAGAATATAGCTATTGAAACATCACTAGCAAGTTAACTACTGGAGTCCTGCTCTTGGTTTTCCAGGCACCTGTCACGCAATGGGTGCATTTACATGCGTGCCAGACTGCACAGTTGTTACTGCGCATTTAGTACTTGCTTAAACAAGTACTAAATGATTGTGTAGTAACCAACATTACTGTGCAGTCCAGACACTGTTCAGGTCCTTACTGCTTGTTGCTACTGCGCAGTAGCATCGACATCATGGTTTGTGCCTGCCAGTGCTACAGCAACATAGCATCTAGTGTAGATGCCCTCAGTCAGTAGCTGAGCCATTACAGTTACGAGCTCTCCTAAAGTTTTCTCTATAGTTTTTTTTTCTCCCCTGGCAGGTTAAGAAAACCTGTTCAAACTAATAGGCTATTTCTGTTAGCTTTTATTTGTTAAAGCTAGACGTGTTAGATTCTTCAAGTGATTGTCTATATGTACTCTGCTTTTGGTGCATATGTGCTATGTGCACGCAGGATCTAAATGTTTTTGGCCAGTAACATTTGTTGGGGAACACCAAAACCCTGGATACCCGCAAGGCCATTCTATCTGGCTCATGGGACCCCTAAAAAAATGTAGAAAATTAGTATTTCTCTGCCCTTGGTTCCTGTCAAGTGACAGGAAGCAAAGGCAGTGGGACCCAGGGGAAGCCCGGTGGGGTCCAACAACAGCGGGGCCCTCCTGGCCTCACCCCCCAGCCAGAAGCCCCAGCCAGGGTTTCTGGCCTGGGAACACGTGGCTGTCCTGGCGCGGGAAGCTCAGGTAAGTGACAGAGGGGGACCCCAGGCAGGGAAGAAGTGCGGGGGGAGAGAGGGAAATGACCCCTCCCCTCCCCACGCCCGGTGCTGCATGCTGCAGCTGCTTGCAGCCTGTGTGGGGCTGCCTGTGCCTGCTCCGGACAGCCCCATGTGGGCTGCGAGCACCTGCAGCGTGCGGCACTGGGCGTGGGGCAGGGGAGGGGTTGCTTCCGCCCTATGCTCAGCTTTTCCCTGGGTTCCTTCCCTGTGCGGAGAATAGCAGCCCCTCGCCCGCCCCATGGACAGTGTGCCACACTGCAGCCACCTGCACCCTGCGTGGGGCTGCCTGTGCCTGCTCCAGACAGCCCCACATGAGCTGTGACTGCCTGCACTGGGGAGCACTGGCCATGGGGCAGGCGAGGGGCCACACTTCCCTGTGCTCAGCACCAGCTTCTTCCCTTCCGGCGAGCAGGGGGTTGGGGCTGTGCACTGCCCCCCGCCTGTACTGTGAGGCTGGGGGGCACTAGGTGTGAGTAGGCAGGGAGCCAGTGGGAGCACAGGGTCCACACTAGTGTCCCAGGGCCAGTGCCGGTGGGGCCCAGAGCAGGGTGGCAGGAGTGCAGGGTCCCAGCTGGCAGGGGCTCTGTGGAGCCAGACCAGCTCCTCCCTCTCCCTGCTGGTATAGCCCAGCCCAGCTCCACAGACCCCTGCCGGCCTGCATCCCACTCTGGGCCCCACCAGTGCTGACCCTGGGACATTGGTTCCAAGACACTGGGACATTGGTCCCAAGATGATGACTGGGGCGGGGCACCTGTCAAGGGACGGGTCTACCCATGCAGCCCTCGGCAGCCTGCCAAAACTGGGTTAGTGGCCCTCTGCTGAAAATAATTGCCCACCCCTGCCTTACATGCATGCAAACACACATACCCCTCCCCAAGGAAATAGGGGACATGGTAGGTCCAACCATATTTTAGTTCCTTCTTTCTGCCTGTGGTATCAAAACAGAAGGTCTATAGAGTCCACTTGTCTGTGCACTATTTAGCTTTCCCTACTCTTATTTTGTCATAATTAGTGTAATTATAGTTGTTATGCCCATTGGCTTTAATTTTATTCTTACTGTTAGAGATTCCCCAGTTCTAGGCCTGAACAGGCATTGTCAGTTAGTGCTCATGAGAGTTGAAGTGAACTTGAAGCTCTTGAGGTCATGCTCAATTGAAAAAATTAAAATTTACAATGGCCAAATCCAGTAAAGTAGCTAAATCCCTTTTTCCATAGTCACCAGAAAGACGTAGGAAGCAGAATGATTCCCATGGCAAGTTCAGACCTAGGGAGTGGGGCAGAGGCAGGGGCAAGGCTGAGGTGAGTGGGGCCCCCAGGCAGGTCGTGGGATGCTTGGAGCCTAGGTGGCTTGTCTAGGGGTGCAGTGGGGGGGGTGTTCCTGCCACTGTGTACACCCTGGGGAGGGAGGGAGCATGTGCCTCTCAGATCTGTGTGTAAGAGGCAGGCTGCCTCTGTGGGCTGGGGCTCTGCGTCCTGCTGCCACTGCCTCGGGAGCCATGAGATACCATGTGCCTTCTGCTGTTGGGCAGGCAGGGGACATGGCACAGCATGGCAGTGGCAGGCACATGGTGTCACGTGGTTCCTGAGGCAGCAGCAGTGGGGCACTGTGGGGGCCTCAATCTGCCCTGCCCCCCCCACACCCCTTCCTCTTCATAGACTTGCCTGCTGTGGTGGGCTGTGCTCCACACCCCACCAGGCTGCAATCCTAGCTGCATGCAGGCTGCAGCTGTGTGTCTGTGTCTACATGCATCCCCTGCTGCAACTGCCCAGAGCCTGTGCCTGGGATGCCCTGAAGTCCTCTGTGCTGCCACTGCTGCCCTGTGTTTGGAGGGGCTAAGCCCCATTAGCCCCAGCCTTCCACTGCCTATGGAGTCATCTATTGTTGACTGCAGCCAAAGCTGGGGATTTTGCCAGTGCTCCTGTTGGGAATTAAAGCAAGAGGTCCCTGGCTAGAGGGTCTTGCTCCTCTGCCAGGGTTAGACCAATCACCATATTTGAGATCAGGAAGGAATCACCATGGAGCAGAATGGAAAGGAAACTGAGCCAACTAGGGAGAAGGTAGCTAAATTGGGAAAGAGCTAGCCAGGAGAAAGAGCTAGTCAGTCTCAGGAAAGAAGGGACTGGATAAGGAGTGAAAAAGGAATGAAAGAGAAAAAATTGAGAAAACAAAGGAAATAATTTTTATTTATTCAGTGTTAAGTTAAAGTAGCACCACATCAGTTCAGAAAAATACTAAGAGGAGAGAAAAATGGAAAAAAGAAATGAGAAAACTGGGAGAACCTGATTTGCAAGTTGGTTCATGTAGAAGCCATTATGAGACTTACCATTCCTGAAGACAGGGATAATGGAATTTTCCAAAAAAGTAACAAGTATGGATGTAAAAGAAGATGGGGTTGAACATGAATTCACGCTGTTCTAAAGAGAAAGAAGAGTCGGTCTGAAGACTTGAAGAAGTCTGATGCCTGATGAGAACTGTGGGCTAGACAGGGCAGATCCTAGGTTGTACTTCTCTTTGGGGAGCTGGCATAGCTAGAAGAATTTTGCATTGGAGTTCTGCTCTTATTCTCCACTCATGTGAAGTGCTATAAAATTTGTGCAACTCAGTTGACATTCATGGAATGTCACTGGCATAAATGAAAGAACGGGGGCTCTTCCGCTTCTACTAAGCCTTTCTCCTGTCTGAAGCGGTCATTTCCCAGATATAACAGAAACCAGCGGTGGCACCAGAAATAGAGATGTTTGGGGATTAGGATCTAGAATTACAGTGGCTTTCTTGTTAAAGCCTCATCTTTCTGTCAAGCAGTTTTTGTGCTCTTAAAGTTCTGGAGCCTTCAGTTTCTTGTCTCCCCCTGCCATTAAGATGCCTTTTCCTGGGGGAAATAAAGCAGCCTACCATTCCCTCCAGGAAAAATGCTCCAGATTTTTCAGGTTCTGATTTAATTAGCTGCAGTAATAAGTCTCTATCAGCAGCTTTCATTAGGCAATGATAAGCTACACTAAATCTCATCTCCTTTTTAATGAGGGCTCAAAAGATCTCAACTCCCAGCAGCCCCACTTATTTCCCAGGCCCAAAGCAATAATTTAATTGGCTCTAGATAGTCAGTTTCCAGGCTGAACTGATTAAATAATGGGAAGGCCTGAGCCAAATATCGAATTTGATATGCTTTGTATAAATAATAGTAAATCAGAAGGCCCGGTGCAAGGATGTTCTACCTGGATCTGCTGCTTTCCAGTATTGTCTACCCAGAATCACGAATGCACCAATCCCAAAGCAGTTTCCTCCTGAATATGGATGACTGGTGCCTCCTGAGTTAGGGGAGCACGTACCCCCCCAGTGGCCAGTCAGTGACTGGGGGGGTCCCCCCACAGCCGATCTAGCTGATGGGGTGAGGAGGGGCAGAGGTGCCAGCGGCACTTTTCCTGGCACCCCCACTCCCCAGCCAATGCTTGTAGGGGGGTCACCAGTGCTCCCACCTGCCCCTCTGCCCATCACCTAAGCAGGAAGCACTGGCTGTCAGGGGGTGCACCAGTGCTTTCAGGTGCACGTGCACCCCTGTGCACCCCCTATGTGTCACCACCGCTCCTGAACATTGGAAATGAGCCAGTCACCAGGTTGTGGTGGAAAAAGAAATGATGAAAACCTAAAAATGTTCTCTGAAAAGGTAGTATAGATCCATAAACAGCAATGACTAGGCTTTAGGGCGTGTTTGCATCCTGTCAGTCTAGGCTAGGAAGTGCCGCCATGAAAACATGTCATTCCCACATGCTCCCACTCTGTACCTTAGAGCAGCACTGGCATATGCCAAAAAGCAGCTGCTTGACAAATTTTGGCAGGTGGCGCATACTGAATCAGAGTGAATGGGCAGGGCAGGCCCAGAGTGAGTGGCTGACACAGGGGAAACAGGCCC